TCTCCAGCCCGGTGCTGTATCTATGAATACATGTTGGGCGGGAATTAGTCTATTGTTAACACTTTTTGCCGAACCCATTGTAATAGCTCTTCAGATCGCAGCTTTGGGCAGCTTCCTGATTTTTCCATTTCCGCAATCTGAATAAGACGGAGACTATCTCTGTAGACTGAACAGTCCAGTCCATCCTCATTGAGACAAAAGTGAAAGCAATATTATATCAATTATTAAAGTTCTCCAAGGCAACGTCAATTTCAATTACGAGTTTAAGCTCATCCTCGATGAAGTCAAGAAATGTACGGCCATAACGACTGGAATACTGTCTGTATCACAACAGGCTTTATTTTGTTATAGACGAGATGCCAGAAAGCGAACTGATGCTAAGAGATAAAGCAGAAGCTAATCAGTAATTTTCTGTAAATTCTCAGTGTTAGATCTGCAGAAACTGATGAAACGACAAGAACAGTCATCCGCCAAAACATTTTTGCTCTCAGGCTCCCCTCTATGCTCGCGTGCACATTAAGCCTATTTAAAATATTTATATTGTATCGACATTAACGTGCTGCTTCAATGATATATATATATATATATATATATATATATATATATATATATATATATATATATATATATATACGATTTACGCTCGCGTAAGAACATTTATATGAGGTGTGATTGGGTCTACTATTTCCCGCCAGTTTCGTCGGGTAAACATTTAGTCACGTGTTCCGCCCAGCCAATCACAATGCTTTTGCACCGGCTGCGCAAGGAGGGATTCTATCTGCTGAGGACTATGGCGTGAGTTGAGCAAGTTTCCTTCTCGGGTGCGAACATCTTTTTCATTCCTGTATAATTTTTTTTATTTGTTATCAGTTCACTCTCCTAGATCTTCCTCGTTTCCTGGAATTTTGACCCTGATGAATCGTCCTAAAAGTTAAGTAATTATTACATTAACGTGTTTCCATTCCATTCATTCCGCTAGCCATTCTTTCGTTATGTATTTTATCACACTAGCATTGTGTCATTTCAGCTGTAAAAGATTGCAGCGTCATTTTGAAATCAGAAATAGATAATAGTTTGCGCGCAGATTTCAATAGTCGGCGCTATTCTTGCATTTAAATACATGGGAGCAGGATAATCTACAAAATTATCATTTTCGATCTCTGTCGTACACAAAATTAAACCATAGAACCATTAAGCTATATATAGATATACTTTCCATAGTCTATTTCATAATTTCATCAATATATCTGCCTAAAAGTGCTTGGTCAGTTTTTTGTCCCTGTTACACTGTTAAAATACTTTCGAACAGGATTTGCAAGAGACTTCATATTTGTTTTCTTTCAATTGGTTCTGTACCAATAGTTTGTGTTTTTCAGTAAGTTCCCTACCACTGGCTTGTGTGTTAGTCATCTGGTTCCGTACCATTGGATTGTATGTTAACCTTCTATTTCCCAATTGGTTGCTTAGTAATGGATTTTATGATTACGTATCATTGGCCTGTGTTTACCAATTGGTTCCGTACCCCTGGAGTGTGCAATACCTTCTTTGTTCCGTGCTACTGGACTTTATGTGAAAACTACAACATTGGTTACGAATCGACCAGCATATTGGGTACGAAACTACCACTATAGCATTGACACGAAACAACCAGGACTTTGGGTACTATACGACCATTGCTTTAGATACGAATCGACTCGTTTGGGTACGATACGACTTGGGTACAGAATGACCAGTTCCCGATTTTATTATTATCAGTTGATTCCCTATCACCGGATTGTGTGTTTACCAGTTGGTTCCGTACCGCTGGTTTGTATGATTACCAGTTGATTACGTATCACTTGATTGTGTGTTTACCAATTAATTCCGTACAGCTGGATTTTATGATTACTAGTTGATTCCGTATCACAGGATTGTGTTGTTTATCAGATTGTTCCGTACCGCTGCTTTTTATGATTACCAGTTGATTCCGTATCACTTGATTGTGTATTTACCGGTTGGTTCATTGTATGTTTGCATCGAGGTTCATGCTTGGCATAGTTGTGTTCGGCACCTCACTACTTGGCACATGATAGTCATTTATGCTTTCTGTCTCCATAAATTCGCTCCATAATCAATGGGCTGTGTTGCCCAAACCATTAGGTCCCCTGACCTATTGTAATCGTCAGTTGGTATTGATTTTATGCTAATTCCGCACCTCAAAACAATGGCCCATAATTTTCATAATGGTCAAATTTTGTTTCTATTTTCATTGATCCTTACTATTACCGAGCTCTCGCCTCACCTCACCTCAGTGAACAGTGATTTTCATAATATTAAGATAAGGGATTTGCAACAATTGCTACGTAGTAATACACTGGCATTGATGTAATTATTAACGTTGTATGGCATTCCTTGCAGACAATGACCCCTATAACGAAATCTGCGGCGGCGTATAAATGGCAGCATAGACAAATAGACCACCAGAGATCCAAAAGCCAAGAGGTGATAAGAGACCCAGAAAGAAGGCACCATTATCACCACCAACTGCATAGAAGGGCTTGGATGGACCCATATCTTCTTATTATAACCCATGAGGTCTCCGACAGGTTCGCCACCCAGGTGACACAGGAGATCCATAACAGATTTTATCGGCTGGTAGCTATGCTCAGTCCGTCTAGGGAAAATTTTCCACAAACCGGGTTTCAACTTGGACCCTCAGTAGCAACAGACAACACGACAGCAGCATACCTGGTCCCCTCCCCCTGCCATTGCGTAAACCATGGCTTAAGTTACAGGTACAGTTATGGATACAGGTAACGTTCGTCCAAATCGTTTGCATCTCCAGGGTTTTTCACAATTACAATTTGTAAACTTGTATATCACACCATTCACTCTAATCTCTGATAAAGTTAAGGCAATCTTGGGGGGAGGCTCACACATTTATGTTTATACCCTACTGAATAGCTCGCAAGATGTGGGTTTCAAATTTCAGTTATTTATGTATAGTAGTAGTTATGTGAAACAGTTACATACGTACAGTAATGGTTATGTGACACAGTTACATACGTACAGTAATGGTTATGTGACACAGTTACATATGTACAGTAATGGTTATGTGAAATGTATCCACTGGTTAGTAACCCTCTTCCCCAATACAAAAAACTGTACTTAAACTTGAGTGACGCGATGATAGGAGTTGATATTTGATGAGAACTTTCTACTATTAGTTGCAAAGGGGAAAGTTAAATGGATTAAAACGCATCCTCTACATGAAGACTGTACTATAGTCGGGACATAACTACACACAAAACTATCTCAGCCCTTTAAGATACGTCCACAGTACAGTCAGCAACCGCACCGACCTAACAATCAGCTTTTTCGTTCTCAACGATCCGAACAACCACGAAACACTAACCCGAACAAGAATCCTGTCGAGATATACTCAGAATTGACCGCTTTTATGATTGGCTAGTCGATTATAATCCCGCCATGAAGGAATACCTGCTCTTAGGTTTTCGAAAGGGTTTCTATGTGAGGTTTAAGGGAACACTGCAAACACAAATATGTAATAATCTGAAATCAGCTCAAATTTAATGACCAAATTTCTGAAGAAAAGATAGACAGATTGTCAGCAGGTCGCTCTGCAGGACTTTTTCGTACAAAACCAATTCGCAATTTACACGTCGCCATTGGGTCCAGTCGAAAAGAAAATTCCTAGGTCTTTCTGACTAATTCGTCACCTTTCCTTCCCACCGTCCGATTCGGTTTAAGATGGAATTGCAAATCAACAATCAGCGTTAAGGTATTTATAAAGCCATCACATGTATACAACAGCTATGGGTGGGGGTGTTTTTGGCAAAAACAGACATATCAAATGCTTTCCGCATTCTTCCTTTTTGTCCCATGCAATATCGTTTTGGAGGCTTTTTGTGGCGCAACAGCTGCTATTTTTACAAACGCTTACCAATGGGTTGAAGTTCCAGTTGCCAGATATTTGAGACCTTTAGGAATTTTCTTCAATGGAAAGAGAACACAGTTATATAACTTACATGACATATTTCTAACGTTTTTGTTTTGTTTTGTTTTATACTAGGTCCACTTCCAGCTTAAGCTTCATCGCTTCCTGGCTGTATGTGCCGATATCGGAGTTCCTATGGCTGCAGTTAAAACATTTACCCCGTTTACAATCCTCACGTAACTCATATACAAACAAATTGGATTCCGTGAGAATGGAGGTTTACATTCCCACGCACAAACTAGAAAAATGTAATAAACTCATACATTTATATATGGCTCAAAATAAAATTACGTTCAAGGTGTTGCAATCCATCATAGGTACTATTAACTTTGCTTGCGCAGTAGTTTTCTCGCCAACAGGTTTCGAGTTTCTCCGCCATGGCTACATATGCGGTCTGACACCCTCATTACATTCCGCTTCATCCAACCAGCTAGAGAATACGCTTGACAATTGGCTTAAAACCATCCTACACACACGTGCACAAACCTCATATAAACCGGCGTAGACGCTACATTAATTAAGAGCTCACCTCGGATTATTTTGTCTCGCCCAGTTTCAATACTCAAATTGACACTTTCGATAGCGCACTATAACAACAAGAGATAGGCGGCATGTCCGATATTCACTTTTGTTTCTGCAGATCGATATGAGCACACACTTAACAGCTTCAGAGCCGCTTCTTACCGCTTCCTTATTCAAAGACTCATTCAAACCATTCACAAAAGTAAATCTCACGATGTTCGTTTGCCTATTGTGTGTGTATGTGTGTGTGATTTAGATTTTTAACTTAGCTTTAAAACAATTTAGTCTTATCGCTACCATGTCTGCAATGTGAGAGTTTATAGTGATGTTTAGCACTGGGGCATCATGAATCAGACATGTAGCATGATGTCACACCCAGTCACATTATCCTGACACCAGGCCGACCAGTCCTAACACTAACCTCTTAATGCTGATCGCCAAGCGAGGCAGCTGTTTGTACCAATTCTTAAAGTCTTTGGTATGACCCGGCCGGGGTTCGAGCCCGCGACCTCCGGCATCGGAGGCAGACGCTCTAATCACTAGACCATCGGAGCGGTTAGTTTGACAATTGATATAGTTACACTGGATAGACTTAAAGTTTATATTATGCATCCAATCTCAGACCATTTCAGGCGTACTATGTATTCTGCCATGTTTACATTGGCTTTCCATCCCATTCTCAGAATAGGAGAGATTACAGTGCAAACAAATGAACATCCGAATGACAATGTTATATAATTATCTCAAGACACCTTTTCCACAAGCATCCTACAATCACTTTTCAACATTTCAAACACGGCTCGGGCATACCATATATATATATATATATATATATATATATATATATATATATATATATATATATATATATATATATATATATATATATATATATATATATATATATATATATATATATATATATATATATATATATATATTGCTGCTGAACAAAATCATGCGACATATCCGATAGTACCTACACGTGTACCTAACCCTCACGTGTGATACTCTTTTTATACCGCTTTTTTATGAAATAACAGGGGCAACAAGCATCTAGAGTAGATTTTAGTACTGAACTTAGAAAGTGCTTTGCTTTTGTGGATTTAACTCGAATCATTTTAAGTCCCATTGCTTCAGAATTTGGACCGACCCTGAGGCGGCCAAAGTTTTCAATGACAACCAAAAAAGGCGATTAGGCCGCTGGAGATCAGACGCATTAAGACATAAATAGCATTAGGCTAAAGGGTCTCAACTTCCTAACACTTTAATCACTTTCTTACGATCACCATTCCGCAATGTGTGTTACTTTCTCTTTCAGGTCTCGTCGGTTGCACAGACCTAGACTCCAGGGAATCGACCGTGCTTTGTTGTGATATCATTCACTCGACCCAGATTAAGGTGTGTCTACCTGCCTATTCGACTGCCAGGAGCCTACGAGGGTACAATAACAGCTCCGGTAGACCAACGGCACATGCCAGAATTGAGCTCAAACGTTTCAAAATTTCTTTTCAATCCAACATACATATATCCTAACTACTGGGAGTATGAGGGTACTCTACTGCCCCAGCTCAACTTCATTTAATTTTGATCAATATTAAAATTTTCTTTTTTTAAGCTGGTCATTTTTGTTCTTTGCCCCCCAGCCTTTTTGTGGCTGACAAAAATGCACAAGCTGTATTTGTTGTATTTCTGTTTATGGCAGTTGCAGCCTAAAAAAATTTATATATTATACGTTATGTCTCATTGTTTAATTTCTTAGCACGTTTACTCTATATACTTTGTCAAAATAGTTATACACAGCAAATTGTAGCGTGACTAAAATCATTTATGTTCAATGCAGAAGCACGAAACTGGCCAGCATCAAACACAAGTTTGTCTTTGTTTTTGTTATGTACCCACATACCGACTTCGTAATATTTGCACAACATAACTAGGAAATTCTGTCTTTTCACTCTCTATCTTCCTTTCGACTCTATCAATGTTGGAAAAGAGTATGCTGGTGTATGCACGTTTAATTTTACAATCTCATCCAACAAGTTATTAATATAGAACACTGTGTTTTCGTTCACTCCCTTTCTGAGAACTTGCACCCTTCTACATGTCTCAGAACACATCACACACACATACATACATACATACATACATACATACATACATACATACATACATACATACATACATACATACATACATACATACATACATACATACATACATACATACACTCTGAATACGCTTGGTACAGAAATTGCCGCTAACAAACGAAAAAAACCCGAAGTGTTCAAACATTTGTCAACATTTCTGGAATACATTATTATTCTGATGTTATCGCTGCAGCTTCCTCAACATATTTAACTTGTGCTTGCGCAAGCGCCTCATAATTAACAACATTCTCGTATACAGTTGCACTCATTCGGTATTGTTTTATTGGTAGCAGCAGATAATGCACCATATTTTTTTTTATTTTGTTATGAATTTACCAAAATCCCAAGACTGGTAATAATTAAGATTGTAATTATTAATACTGTTAAAGGCAAAGGAGTGAATCACACAGAACCCCGAACACGTTACTATTTGCTGATCTTAAATATGATACCACCCTTCTGTAAAGAATTTCTATTTATAGCCGAGATCATAAAAGGTACAAGAGGTGTAGAATAATTCCCACCTACCGTTTTAGTTTCTTATTTGTGAGGCATCAGGTATAAATCGACTCATACTATACCTGTAGATAGGTGGTGAATCACGCGTAAGCTCCCCGCGAGATCTGTATGCCCAAGTTTTGTTGTTGTTGTAGTTGTTATAGGGTTTAACGCCATTTCTCAGCACCAGATAGTCTATACATGGCGGTCAGTATTAATGGTGGAAGAAGAACCCTGGAAAACCCCGTGAAGAACCAGCTACCCACGAGAAGCTACAGGCAGGCTTTCTCATTCGAACTCACGCAGACAAAGGTGAGATAGCAGTGATCCGTAACGGTCAGCGCTTTAGACCACTCGGGGCCCTTCTAAGGTTTGAATGAGCTTAATACGACTGTTCGACATGCAGAGAGAGAGAGAGAGAGAGAGAGAGAGAGAGAGAGAGAGAGAGAGAGAGAGAGAGAGAGAGAACTTTACAATAAGCTGGCGGAAAAGGGTCTTATGGTTCATTTTATAGTGGAACGACTAGAGTTAGGAGAGAATATAAAGACATAAGAAAGTAGTGAAATTTATAAATAACACGAATTGTTGTCTCCTAAATAAATAAATGCATTGATAAACTTGAAAACGTTTCAATTCCAGACGTTGGGATATGTATACTAGGCTACAAATACTAGACCATTCTCACTGGGTAGCATTTTAACTATTATTAAACAATTACCATAGCCATCAGAGCTATGGGTTATTTTTCACAAAACCCCACAATCTAGGAGATGAATCAAACATTTCCGTAAATGTGCCTCATCAGTCTTAACTTCAATATGTTTTATTTTAAAATAATTTGTCCATAATTGAACTAAAAATGTATGAAAAAGCAGTAAACGTTACTACACCTCTTGAGTTTCACATTCTATAACTTGGTTCAATATGTGCGTAATTTCAGTGCACTAAAAAGCCTTACTGGATTGATTGCACATAAATTTTACATCTGCATAAAGTTGGACAAAATTATAATTATCTGACTTAGTTTCATAGTAGTATTTTTCACAAATAAAATGAAAAGTTATTAATTTCATCTATTTAAAGCAGAAGGTCCAATTTACTGCATGTTCGTTGCAAAAACAATTCTTAGTTACTTTAAGAATAATCATCTATATATCACCAAGCATGGTTTATTTGATCAAATGCAATCTGTGCTCTATTCAACATTCCTTTGTAAACTGAGACAATTTCGAAAAGTCAGTAAAAGAGAATTTTTATTTTCAACTACTCTTTTCAACAAAACACGGAGAGCAACTGTTAACGCTATGATTAACCAATACTACCGTTTCCTTCGCTCAATCATATAAGCTACAAAACATTTACGACATATCAGATAAGTTTTATTTTTTATATGTTATAGAGCATCATGGAAAGCCACAACCAACAATCCGCTACGCTCAGTTTTCAATTTGGTCGCTTCTACGGAGAATTTCACGTTCCTCATTAACATGCATAAACCGATTGAATCAATCACTGCAAGTTCGAGTACATTTTGTTCTCGATATTGTGACTCAACATGACATACCAAGCTGTGAGAATGAGCTAATCAAAAGTTCTAGATCAAAAAGTAACACTTATCAATCGATAAAACTGACACCTATTTGATGTGTACGAGATTATTATATTCTGTTGACGACTTATTTGTATTCGTGCGTTCTCGTGAAAAACTAGAAATCTTTGCACATGCGGCCACAGGTGATAAAGGAGTCTTGTGTTGTTATATCAAATAGCTTCCGCCGATAAATATAATCCCTTGAACATTTATATACTAAGAAGCATCTTTGTAATTTAATAAATAAATGCACAAATAATAAATAAATAATATAAATAATATAGGTCAATATGGCTTACTGATTCGTATACAAATAAACAACAAAATAGACGTGTCAGTTGGTGGAATAATTCTAGAACTTCTGAGCATAGTTTTATGACGTAGCCAAAGTCTGGAGAGCCTAAAATGACGAAATAGGTATGGTGCCTACTTTACAGTAATTCTGGTAAATGTTTGAAACTAAATAGATTGATTTGCGAGCCTGTATTCAAAATAGCTCAGAGTGAACTAAATCTTAGTAATCAGGGTTGCTTCCTTTGCTTGCCATAATAAATCTCCGGCTTTGTCATGTTATATATCCCCATCCCCGTCCCTACCTAAAAATAAATAAATTAATAGCTGCAATATTTGTATATTTAAACTTGGCCCCCCCCCCTCAGTGGAAACACAGACGGAGGAGCACAGTAGAATGAACCAACCCCTGTAAAGTGTACATTCCAATATTCTTATTTATACTTGGGTGTTTTCCTGTGGCTTTGGCTCTGGAATATAGAACTGGTCCAATGCCCCCCCTCTCCCATAACGTATGTCGTAAGAGGCGTTTCATGAATGCAGTAGATGTGAACTTGCATGGGTTAGGATTTCGAATTCGTCAGTATTGTCAATTTTAACGGGGGCCAAGTGGTCTAAAGCGCTCTCCGTTACTGATTCACTGCCGTCTTACCTCTGTCAGCGTGGGTTCGAGTCTAAGATTCGGCGAATGTGGATATGTGAGAAAGAGTGCCAGCAGCTTCTCGTGGGTCGATGGTTCTTTCCGCGGATTTCCCGTTTTCTTCCTTCACCATTAATACTGGCCGCCATGTATAGCCTATAATGAATCTATAGGACACAGTCTTCTATGAATGCCTGTGAAAAAATGTATGTCGATACGCTGTAGCCATTTTGTGAAAGGAAGAGCAAATGAGATTCATCTGACATCTGCAAGATCCTGGCACATGTATTTAACCTTTCTATTAACACACGTGCCTGCCTCTCTCTCTCTCTCTCTCTCTCTCTCTCTCTCTCTCTCTCTCTCTCTCTCTCTCTCTCTCTCTCTCTC